CCTGATTACCAAACCCTAATCCATATTTTTTGACGATTGCGCTTCCGTCTACTCTGTTGCGTTCTTCATTCTCTCTAAAATGTTCACTGACTTACGCGAACCTTCTCTGTTTCCGGCGTCTTGACATACTCGATTTTAAATCATCGCACGTCCAAGTAATTCACTGCTAAAAAACTTTTCAAATAATTTGACTGTAGCTTTCGGCCGTTGTGGAATTGCTTTCTTTCCCAAATGCCGATCTGAAAAATCGGGTGACCGGAACAGATCTAAAACAAACTAATAAATACAGTATCATCAGGTAAAACTTATTGTTTAAAATGAAATTAAGAAATACATCATATTTTCTAATTACTTAATATCAGTTCAATAATTATTTGTTTAAACTTATTCGTCTCTCCAATATTATTGTTCATGCAACTGATTTAAATTTTAAAAAACTTTTTTTTTTCAATTTAGTAATTGATTTAGTAACTTTTTTAAAAAAATCCTCTCAAAACTATATTAGAATGAACAATTAAATTGTTGTCGATCAACAAAATTGTAAGAATAAAAAAATAGGTTAATCTTATTTTTTAAAATCGGATACTCTAATTTTTTTTTCAGTAAACAATAAATTAATTTATATAATAAAATGTTAACTTAAAAATACTGGAATGTATTACCTGCTTCATCATTAAATAACAATAATTGTAGATTAACATGTATTGAAAATAGATAAGTATGATGCATTATATACCTTAAAATGATGCAATTTCATTTAATTGGTATTTAATACCTTAAAATGATGCAATTTTATTTAGGCGGGAAATTGATTGGCAAAAAACATTTGCTATTATATAGAGTAAGATTTCAGAAAGTAGGTACTAGGGATGGCAATTTTACTCGCACTCAATAAGTTCTCCCCTACGGGTTTTAAAATACTTGCATAATTTGGGTAATTGGTGCGGGTATATATGGAGGGGATTTTATATACCCACGCGGGGAGGTATCCCCGCCCAGCACCCACACTTATATATATTGTTATTAGTATTCATTTATTATATAAGTTTATGTATATTTTATAATTAAAAATGCGTAATGAATTAAACTTCTTAGGGGGGTGTATTCAATCAAGACTTTTAAAGAGTTTCAAAGACTTTTAAAGTGATGGATTTTAAATGACTTTTGTAGAGATTTCGTAGACTTTCCTAGAATCTTTTAAACTTTCATCAACTTTGTAAGAGTCTTTAAAAATCCATAAGACAAACATTTATAGACTTTTAAAAACTTTTTCATATTAAAAAGTCTACAAAAGTCATTAAAATTCTAAATTGAATACACCCTTACAAACATTCCATAACTTCTACTAATACATTATATTTATAATTTTCGTACAAAAATATATTTATATAAACCATAAATAAATTAATGCATTACAAAAAAATAAAAAATAAATATTGATTGTCACAAAAATAGATTATATTATACATAAAGAAAATAGATTAATCAATTAATATAATCTATTTTCACTAAATATAACCAACAAAAATATTTCTTGTACTAATGAAACAACTAATATTGAGTAATATAATTATCAAAATGTCTAAAATAAAAAAGTACAAATTAAAATATTCATCTTGTTAGTACAATTATCTTTGATTGGAATTGTTTTCACCTTGTTGGGTGTCTCTCCACATATCCAAAGCTATTTTAGCCCTCCATTCATTGGCATGCTCTCGTTGTTGCTCTTGAGTTTCAAACAGATGTTCAAAATTATCTACATCATTCATCGGTAAAGGTGAAGGAGATTCATCATCATTTAGCTCAATTGGAAACTCATCGCTACGACACTCCTTGCGAAGAAAATTATGAAGCCCGACACAAGCTAGTACAAGTTCTGCTTGAGTCTTATAAGGGAATGGAGGTGCTGACTTGAAGATCGTAAATCTCGGTTTGAATATACCAAATATCCTCTCAATTACATTCCTCAAAGAAGAATGTCGTAGATTGAATAACTCAACATCATTTTCAGGGTCACGACCTTGTCCGAAAAAATCTTGAAGATGATAACATACACCTCGATATGGAGCTAAAAATTGCTGTTGGTTTGGAAATCCACAATCCACTAAAAAGTATTTAGTTTGTCCAACTAATGGTGGGGAATTATGTCTTCATTTGTTAGTTGGTCAATAAATCAATTATGAGTATGTATATTATTAAGTTCATTTTATTAATTTCGTTGAAGAATGTTTTAATCAGTGGGAGTGATCATTTAGAAAAGATCATTAAGATACTCCACTAAAGCTTATTGATTTAATTGGATACATACGTTTCAAATTGGATTGTATGTTACACAATAAGTCCATAAGATTCCACAAGTATTAATCTTGTATTTGTTCATATAAATTCATAAGTTCAAATTATTGAACATTCGGTTGTGCAACATATTTATGAAAATGTTGCAACAATATTATGAAATTTATTAGAACAAAAGCATTTAACTTGTGGGACACTGTCATTTAATAAATTCTTTAGTGATTAATAGAGTCTCTAGTTTCTTCAAAATTGATCCTGATCTGACCATTTTGGTTTGTAAGGCTTAAGACAATTTTGTGGGACATATAAGTAAGACTCATTATGTTCAATTCGTTTAAAGTGAACATTGAAGTTATTTGGGAAGTTATGGTGCATGTTTAAGATTCCAAATGTATGGACTTAGACCTTTGGTTTATTGTCTAAGTTATTGGAATGCTTCTGTGACTTGACTATCTTTTGGCTATTTTTTATGAGTGGGAGTGACAGACGTGTCAACTCCAAGCTCTTAGCTGTTAGAGATAGTACTTAAAGTTAACTTATAAAGAAGTCATGGAATATAGTTAGCATTATGCTAACATTAAGAGATCTCTACTTAAGGCATGCTTATAAAGTTTTAGAGATCATACAGTGTACTCTTTTGTACAATTTGGATGTGTTTTCTCCTTCAGTTGTGCACATAATGTATTTTGAGAAACATCCCTTAAGGTACCGAGAATAAACATAGGGTTTGTTCATTAAGGACCTAAGTTGGAGAATTAAAATGCATGTGACCATAATGGATACTACTCTGATTAAATAGAGGACATATCACTATGATTCGTGTGTTTTGTTCTTTGATGAAGGTTGTGCTAGTACTTGCACCAAGTGGGAGAATGTAAGATTTTCCCTAATAATATATATTGTATATTATATATTAGGGCCTTAATTAAGTGGTGCAAGTTGACTAGGCTTATTAAGTGGTCTGGTTGGACTTAATAACTAGTAGTTGTTAGTCAACCAAACTCTGTGCCTAATATAACCTGGATTGATGGGATACAGGATTATGGATTAGATAGCACATTCAGTTACGGTACTCAGACCGCTCAGTAGATACCAATACACCATCTAGGGTTCTGAGTCAGGTCTGAGGCAAAACATGGCTAACGGTCTACCGTTAAGAGGCAACACAACAGGAACATCAACTATGGCTGGAGATCAACACGGCTACGCTTCCGCTATCATACGAGGTCAGGTTTCTCGTATACTATGGTTTATTATAGTTAGACTATTGTATATCTAACATATCCAAGTCAGAGAGTTCCTTAATAGCATCCCAACAACCACTTTCTTTTTCCCTTTTTTGCACCAAAATATGGATATCAGCCGCAATCGAATCAAGAGTATTAGATAATTTATCTAACACATTAGATCGATTTGTTTCCTCTGTTGAACTACTATTTCCTTCATATTCAGTTCTATTCCTTTTTCTCTTATAATACTTTGTTGAAGTTGCTTCCACATTTATCTCTTGAGGTGCTGATGAAGTATATTGTGATAATCGTGGATCTTGAGAATCTACTTGTATATCATTTTGTGTAAATCCATCGTTAGCAAAATCAAAGTGTAGTTGATCAATTCTACACTGATTATCTTCTTCAACACTATAGATTCTTGCATCAGTTTCATCACCCAATCCGATAGAGTTTTTTCCTACAGCAGTACTACTTCCAAATACAAATGCTAAATCGTCATAGACATCAATCGTATCTGTCCATAGATTTTTATGAGTAGGATGAGACTAGAAAAGGAAAATAAAATAGTTAATAAATTATTTAAAATATAAAATTTAAGAAACATCTATGTTAATTAAACGATATAAAAATCTCACCTTAAAATAATCTTCCCACACCTCATCGCTAGCAGTAAACCTCTTTGTGATTGGATCCCAACCAAATCCAGAATTATGACGCATAAGCTCAGAAAAATTGTTAAAACGATGCTTGAACCTTTTCAATCTGCTTTGGTATTGTGCATACAATCTTTGACAACCAAGCTTTTCATTAAGAGCCGGAAGTATCCTCTTCTCCACAGTTAACTTGCTTAAACCCCCACTACTATCACGCCATCCATTTTTTATCGCATCAACCATAAGTTGTAACAACACATTACTCTCCTCAGGTGCCCATAATGCATAATTTCCATTAACTTTACTTTTACCTTTACTCCTTTCTTGATCCCCCATTACTATCAAATAAATAAGAACCTCAAATAATTCAACTTAACACAAATACAAATATTAATAATTAATGAACATATAATAACATAAAATTATATTAATTATAAAAAAGAAATTGTAAAAATTTGAGTATATTAATTCAATTCATTACAAGAAAAATTATAGAATATTTATGCTGCGAACAGCAGCAGAGATGCTGCTGTTCGCAGCAGATAAGCGTATTTAAAATCTGCTGCGAACACCCTGCTGTTCGCAGCAAACAAAGTTGCATAAATATTAAAAAAAAAAAAAATTACAACGTATAGACGTACCGACAATTTGATGAAAAAGATGTCTGGTTGATAGAGGAAAAAAAGTCTGTAGAGAAAATTGAAAAGTTTGAGGTTGGAGGGTCGGATTTCATCTATTTATATTAATGAAGAAAAAGTCTACAGAAATCCTATTCTGATAAAGTCTATGAAAGTTGATAAATATTTGAATACCAGTAGACTTTTAAAGACTCTATAAAAGTCTGAAACGAATACCTGTATACTTTTAAAGACTTCTGAAAAGTCTGAATCGAATACAGGTAGACTTTTAAAGAGTCTTTAAAAGTCTAAATTGAATACCACCAAACTTTGAAAGTCGTTAAAAGTCATTAAAACTCTTTAAAAGTCTGGATTGAATACACCCCCCTTAGTTTTTTGTTTATGAAAATTGAATAGAAAAACACTAATAACATAATGAGTAAACATTTAATACAATTTATACTACCAACACAATTTTAGTTCCAATTAAGGACTAACTTCATTGGCTCTTATTAAATTTTAGAGTTATGTTCAAACTTATAAAAAAATCTATATGATAATTAGAATTGTAGTATAAAATTTTTATTAGATTTAAGTGTAATATTAATAATTAGAGTTGCGGGTTTGGTATTATCCGCACCCACAAAATTTCTGCAAAGGCGAGTATGAGGTGAAAATTTCATTACCCGCGCGAGTGCAGGGAGTGAATTGAAAATGCGGGTGCAGGGGCGGGGATATATCCCCCGCACCCACCCCGCCCATTGCCATTCCTAGTAGGTACTATGTCGTGGTACAAATCAAAGTAAGAGGAACGCCAGAATGAGAATGGATCTAAAATTTACAACGCCAGACATATGTAAGCTACTCTGAGGAAATGTTTGGACAAGGATTTATTATACGACGTGTAGGGTCGCCGTTTTAACTCCATTTCAAATTGTACACAATATGTTCCCAGATCTGTCTATCCATTTCTGTGCTTTAATTCATTCAATGCATGTGATTGCATACACTTGCCGTGATGGTTGGTTGCACTGCAACTTCCTTTTAGCCTTATTTCCTTAAGTAAATTTAAATTTTATCATTGTGTTAAATGTAAGGGTGTGTTTGGTTCGCACATGAGAATTGGAATCGGATTGAAAATAAAATACTTAGTAATGATTATGGGTTTTGGTGAAAGTATTTTGCATGTTTGGTAGCACTATAGCAGGGTGGAATTTGGATGATTATACTAGTACACACTTATAATCTACTAATCTACTAAATCTAATAACAACCAATAAAGTTAGGCTTATAACGAGAACTAAAAAAAATATTAGTTGGTTCAATTGTTTGTTGAAATTAATGGTTCATATTATTTTGATTTTAGTATTTTTATTATTTTTCTTACTTTACCCTATATTATATCAATTACTTTTCCTAAATACTCCCGCATACAGTCAGTGTAAACTTTAGTAACGGAATATTTCATTAACTATTTATTATTCTTAACTCACTCATTAATTTCCATATGGTCTTAGGTTCAAACTTCATCTCAATTTAAAGTTACATAATTGTTGAACATATACTATGAATATGTTAGAATATATTAAAAAAATACTCCGTATAATATAAAATTTAACATGAATTTAGTTAATTAATTTGCCAGATTGTATATATAGCATTCAAAGTTGAGCATCAAAGGTTACAAATAAGAAAGATTGAAAATCATTTTGTTTCATTTAAAAAAACAAAACAAAACAAAACAAAACACATCTAGGTTAAGGTTTTTTGTTCTCCTAAAAAAAATCTCTCTCTAGAATTCTAGGATTTTGCTTCCTCTCCTAGGTTGTGCTAGGGTTTTGCTATTTTTGCTACTTATCTCCGGTGCTTCACCGGATCTTCTTCGATTTTTTGCTGCTGTTTCATTTGTGTTGGTTGGCTCTACATGGCGACAGACGGTACTGCGGATGGTGTTGCGGCCCTAACTACTAGGTGGGCAGATATAGCGATCGAGGGGGAGGGGGAAAGCTTTGCGCCGGCCGGTGTCAGAGTTGATGCAAATGCTGGTGAGCCGGTCGAGACATGGTCAGTGGTCGGCAGGTTCTTGACGGCTAAGCTGATCAAGCTGGAGTTCATGAGGCAGGTTTTTGGCTTCAGTATGGCAGCTGGTGATGGGGGTTACGGTCATAGAGATCCAGAAAGGATTGTTCCTTTTCGTTTTCTTTCATAAAACGGATGTGGAATACGTCTTGAATAGAGGGCCATGGGCGTTCGAGAATTGTACGTTGGTGTGTCATCCGGTTGGAGAGGGGATATTGCCCGTCAATGTGCCTCTGAACTCTGTTGACATGTGGGTGCAACTCCGTGACCTTCCCATGGGATACACGTCGGATCTAATTCTTAAGCAGGTTGGAAATTTCATAGGAACCTTTGTTAAATGTGATGATAGGTTCATAGGTGCACCGTGGTTGGTGTTTTACCGCATTCGCGTGGCGATCCCGGTGGATAAGCCCTTGCGCCGTTGGATGAAGTTATTGAAGCGTGAGAAGACAACCTGTTGGGTGACTTTCCGGTATGAGAGACTGCATACTTTCTACTTCTTTTGTGGTATGATGGGGCACTCGCATAATTTTTGTGTGAAGGTTCGGGTGTCTATGTTTCCGGTGGATCAATACCCTTATGGTCCTGAGTTGCGTGTGGGTGGAAGCCGAGGTCCTAGGGAGGTCGGGGACAGTTGGTTGGTCCCGGTTGGTGGAAGACCGAGAGCACCGGAGGGGGTCGCGGGTGTGACGGTACGTCGGCTGGAAAGGGGGCCGGGCGGGAATGGGGATGTGGTGGTGTTGGGCAGTGGGGACTCAGCCGAGTATGGAGTGGCCGCGGTTTCGAAGACGAGGCGAGAAGTGGTGGGAGGGGGTGATTGCTGTGTTGGAATGGAGAATGTTGATGTTAATATGGTTGATGTGTCAAAAAACTTGTCCATGGCGGGAGCTGCGTCGCAGTCCCGCCCATCATCATGAGTTCGTTATGCTGGAACTATCGTGGCTTGGGTAATCCACGAACAGTTCGCGAGGTGGTGGACACGGTGTCCTGTAAGAAGCCCGACTTTGTATTCTTAATGGAAACTAAGGTGAAACGTGATCATGCTGAAAGGTTGCGTATCAAGCTTGGTTTCGAAGGTCTATTCTATGTTGAGCCGGTAAGTCTGAGTGGTGGATTGGCGTTATTGTGGAGGAATAATAATACTACGAGATTGATTAGTTTCTCAAGCAATCATGTTGATGTAGAGGTTACTATTGATGGGTATGATTTGTGGAGGATGACGTGTTATTATGGGTACCCACATAGGAATAGGAGAAGTGAATCCTGGGAATTTTTGAAAAACTATCAGTACGATCTATGTTGCCTTGGGTTGTGATTGGAGATTTCAATGATCTCTTATTACAGTCGGAAAAGCGTAGACGAATCCCACATCCTAAGAACTTGCTACGCGGGTTTAGGGAGGCGCTTGATGTGTGCGGCTTGTTGTAGTTGCCTATGGATGGGTACCCGTATACTTGGGAACGGGATCATGGTACTGTGGATTGGGTGGAAGAATGTTGGATAGAGCGGTAGCAACCATGGATTGGCGCGAGATGTTGGAAGGAACCAAAACGATAAATATTCCGACACGTACTTCTGACCATTCGACACTTTTTCTTAGTCTATCAGACTCGGCCAACCGTTTTAGGAGGGGACGTGGCAGTTTCCGGTTTGAGATGGCATGGTTGTTGGATTCTGGGTGTCGTGGGGTGGTGGAGCAGGCCTAGATTGATGGAGGAGGTGGTGACCTATTGAGTAATTTGCGCCTCTGTACGGACCGTTTGCAAGCGTGGGGGTGACCGATTCCATATGTTTGGCAAACAGATAAAGGTACTTCAGGCGAAATTGATGGGGCTCAGGGGGTGTACGGACCCGGGCTCCCTCGAGGAGTTTAATGCAGTGCATGCTCAGTTGGCCCAGTTGGAAGCGCAAGAGGATATCTATTGGAGGCAGAGAGCTAAACAGCATTGGCTACAGGGAGCGGATACCAAGACTAGGTTCTATCAGAGGTATGCTTCTATCAGAGGTATGATGTTATCATTGACTATTTTGAGGGTGTTTTTAATTCTTATAATGCCCCAACCCATAATGTTTTCTTTGATTCGGTTTTACCCCGTGTAACTGCCTCCCCAAATGAATCGCTGCTGAAGCCGTTTGTGGCAGAGGAAGTTAAAGGGGCCCTTTTCTCTATGTTTTCGGACAAAGCCCCAGGTTCGGAGTCACAGAGTGCTTTTATCCCGGATAGATTGATTACTAATAATATTTTGATTGCTGCTGAAATTGGCCACTATTTGAATAGAAAACAGTGTGGTATGACTGGGTGGGGAGCTCTAAAATTGGATAGGGCTAAAGCGTACGATAAAATGGAATGGTCTTTCTTGAAACGTATGCTCCTGGCTTTGGGCTTTACTGAGCGGTGGGTGGATTTGATTATGCTATGTGTAACAACTGTCTCATATAATATTCTTGTTAATGGTGTTGTTGGGGGAGTGGTATACATTGGATAGCCTGGGATCGCCTCAGTAAACCTAAAACTGCTGGGGGCCTGGGATTTAAGGACCTCAAAGCTTTTAATATTGCAATGCTAGGGAAGCAGTTGTGGCGATTCCTTACAAAGCCAGATTCTCTAGCTGCCCGGGTATATAAGGCAAAGTACTTCCCTAAGACTTCTTTCCTTAATGCCTATGTAGGAAATAACCACAGTTATTGTTGGAGGAGTATTATGGCAGCTCATGAGCTTGTCAGTACAAAAAAAATAGTTATTTAGTGACAGACGTTTAGCGGCGGTTTAGTATAACCGCCGCCAAATAAATGTTTTGCGACAATTATACTAACCGCCGCTATTTAAATGTTAAAACTTACGTTAATCTGTGGCGGTTGCTTATAACCGCCGGTAAGTATTAACTTAATGTTTTAGGCTTATGTTTAGCGAATCACGGCTACGGATTAAGTGTCAAACAAGCTCATTTCCTCTCAATATATTTCTCCCTCTGAAACCTTTCTGGATCTCTCTTCTCATAGCTCTTGGGCAAATTATGCCATGGACCCGTGTCCACAGTGAATTGTGGATACGGGCCTAAAACGGCGTCGTTTTAAAAAAAAAAAATACGTCATTTAGTTAAAAAAAAAAAAAAATCGCGCGCGTTTTGCCGTTAACGGCGTTATTTTTTTTTTTGGATTATGAATGTACAGTTATGCCGTTATGAATGTACAGTTATGCAATTATGAAATTATGAACACAGAGCTCTAACATTATGAACTTACAATTATGAACATATATAGTGATAAAATTATGACCATGGAGCTTTAAAATTGTGAATATAGAGCTTCGAAGATTATGAATGTACAGTTATGGAGTTATGAATCTACAGTTATGAGATTATGAATCTACAGTTATGGAATTATGAATGTACAGTTATTGATCGAATTATGAACAAAGAGCTCTAACATTATGAACTTACAATTATGAACATATAGTGATAAAATTATGAACATAGAGCTCTAAAATTGTGAACATAGAGCTTCGAAAATTATGAATGTACAATTATAGAGTTATGAATGTACAGTTATGGAGTTATGAATGTACAATTATGGAGTTATGAATGTACAGTTATAGAGTTATGAACGTATAGTTATGGAGTTATGAATGTACAGTTATTAATAATATAGTAATAAAATTATGAATATATACTCCTATAACAAAGCGGTCTGAAATTAAAATAAAAAAAAAAAAAAAAGGAAATAAGGCACTGTTACCCGTGTCCAGCAAGCATGCTGGACACGGGTCCAACGCATAACGATTGTAGCTCTTGCGCCCTCTCTATCACATCTCTCCACCATTCCCTCTTGCCTTCTCTTCACCATTGCCATATTTTCATTTTTGTTTTTCTTATTGGAGCTATTCTCGCCCTTCAGCCGCCGCCGTGCCACCACCTACCGCCGTCGCATCTCAACATACTTCTTTCAGGTATCAAATCCCTTCCCCCGCTCTTTGTTATGTGCAAATTGTAATTTATGACCTCCAATTAAACTTAGTTGAAAACCAAACAATTGAATCGTAACTAAGTGATTTGAAATTTCTAGTAGTCTGGTTACTAGTTTCAAAACAATTGAAAATCGTAACTAAGTAATTTGAAATTTCTAGCATTCGGATTACTCGTTCCTTGTAGTAGACTACAATAAACCCTATACAAGCCTAGGAAATGATTAATCAGTTTTTGGCTCTAATGTTGAGAAACGACATTGAATTTAAATATTTGATTGTGATTTTAGTTGTAGAAATTCTCTCTATTTATTTCATTTTCTAGTTCATAAATTTTCATTATTACATTCCCTTCGTTATTTGTTTTTTTATTTTTATGGAAAAAAATCATTGTGATTTAAACAAGACTTGTAATTGTTAATCTTAGTGTTGAATTATTCCTTCTCTTGGATTGTTAATGTGTTTTACTGCCTATAGACTTTGAAATACAAAAGCTATCCAAAATTGTTATCTTTAATTTATTGCCACTTCTCAAGTCATCTTCTTATCTCTTTCATTTTTAGTTATTGTGTTTGTTCTGCAAACCAAGGTTATATAGTAAAGCTATATGTTCTTTTGTTTTGATTGACTAAACCATTCAAGTTATGCATAATATATTTTTACTATCGATACTCACCTCAAAAGAGATTGTTTATTTAACATTTGACAAAACCAAGTAAAGAGAGATGAATCTGACCTTTCTCTGTTGTATGCTAGACTTATGATGCTATTGTTGGTGACGTAAAAATCCCCGCCCGCAGACTGATCAAAAGACATGGAGTTCACATTGTCATATATAGAGTCACGCTTGACAATGATAGTTCTTGTGGAGTATGATAAATCTAAGAAAGCATGGATGTTTCTGAAGCCTTTCACTAGGAACACGTGAGTAGTAACTTCAGCCATCCTATTCTACACAACTTTCGCCATTTGATTCTTGGAGCATCAGTCTAATGCAGAATTCAGAGGGCCCTAGAGCAATCAGCTTGAAACCTTTAACTTATTGTATGACTTAAAAATTTCTTCTTCTTTTCCCCTTTTGGTTATTAAAAATCATGGATATTGTTTTTATTTTATTCTTTCCTTTTCTTTGCAGATCGTGTATACTAAAGTTTGCTTGGTATGGAGGTAAATTTTTATCCTAATTGTTGAAGTGATTATCCCAATGAGAAAAAAGAATAGTTTTGTCTTTTCTCTATTACTTCTTGCATCAGTTGACATCATCTTAAATTCTACAGGTTGAGATGATCTAGGTATATTCATGTGAATGATATTGAGTCTATTTCATGCAATCCTGCTATTAAGTGTATTATACATGTAATTTTTAATGCTATAGGTAATGGATATTGATTGTTATAATCTGCAAGCGCACAGAGTCAATCACAGTATAAATTCCTGGAGTATTCCAGGGTCGATCCCACGAAAAACACTATTAACTGTTATCTTAAATAATCAAATTGTTGATAAGGAAATTTGCAAATAAATAGAATTAATGTGATTAAGAAGAATATTTATGAATTTTAAGCAAAGGGAAATTCAATTGAGAAAAGATTAGGGATTTGGGGTTCACCTATTAGATAATTAACTAACTCTCCTAAGTATTGATTCTTAAGACTATAGTGATGATTGCTTCAAATATATCCTAATACTCCGTCGAGCTACTAGGTTGTATCCAATTAACTGTGATCATCCGTCGATATCTCACCAACATTAATTAAACCCATTAAGCAACAATCAAATATCACCACAAATACCTAAAGCTAGGTCTAGTTTAGGTCAATTGTGTTTATCTTACGAGTTCTAGGTTCATAATTCACCTGTCAGTTCTTCTTATGAACCCTAGCATTAGAATTATGCAATGGCCAGTCACACAATTCACAATTAAAATACATAAGATAAATATAATCAAAGTTCAATTATTAAACTAAAATTGGAAGAATCAACACATGAAAAATAGTCAATGAATCTAATCTAGGCTAATCCAAATCCCCAATTAAGAGTTCTAGCCAAGAATCATATTTGAATGTGTAGAATGTTCAAGAAATAACATTATGGAAACTTAAACAAAATAAAGTAGGGAAGAAAATCAATTCAAGCCTAATAAATGATAGCTGTGATTAAAGCTCAAAATTCCTTGCGATGAAGTCTTCTCGCCGAATCTCCTCGCCGAACACGCTGCTGCGCCCCCCACTATTTCTTTTTATTTTATCTTCTCCCCCGTTTTCTCTGTATTCTGCCGTCCCCAAAAGTCCAAAACCAAAACAAATTCCTTCCACTTATCCCCTTCTTTTCTCTTTTTGCTGCGCCCATCCCTAAAAAGAAAACAAAACAAAATAATATAAAATAAAATAATTATAAACTAATGACATAATAACTCAATTAAACTTAAATATTAAAACACTTATTAAAAATAGAATGAATAAAACTAACAAATAAATTTAATAAAATAGATAAAATAGAACTCTTCTTTATATATTAATAAAAATGCAACATTAGTCTAATATTTATTAAAACTCATCTAAACTAGTCTAAACTAGTAACATATACTAAATATAATATTTATAATATAATTAACCCTAAAACTTAATTTATTTATGCAAATCACTAGCTAAAATTACTCTAAATAATGTCTAGAAATTAAGTCTATCAAACTTCCCCACACTCAATGCTTTGCTTGTCCCCAAGCAAACTTATTCAATGAAATCAAACTACCAACCATAACCATGTCAACTAGGCATTCAATTCAAGGGAATTGGTGAACACATAATACTTCATGAGAGTTCAAAGTCATATGCACACAAGACAATAGAGAATAGTAGTCCTCAAGGTTGTTCACTCAATCTCTCATAAATATATGTATAAAAAAGGTACACACCATCCTCTATTGAGAGTGCATGTGCCATAGGCTTGCTTGTCCACCAAAACTCCACTACCAAAATTATATGAAGAACACGAGTCAAAAGGTCTTTATTTCTGGGTTGTAATGGGGCCAAGGGTATGTGGTTTAAGAAAGAAAGGATATAAGGAAATACAAATAAAGTCCAAGGAATCAGTAGAGCCATAATTTCACCATACCAAGAGCAAGAACTTGTATTCTACCAATAAAACGAACTCCACCAAAACAAGCAATCACTACTTCATTCTCCTTCATCCTTTTCGCTGATAAACTCTCAAAACAACTTCCAAAACCTTCATCTCTTTCCCATCTTTTTTATTTTATTTTTTTTCCTCTGTTTTTTTTCAATTTTTTTCTCTTTTTTTTTCTCCTTTTTTTTTTCCTTTCTAGTAAAACCGAATAGATAGCTCATCATTTCCACATCACCCTCAATAGTACTTGATAGTGTTAATTGCCACGTAAGCGGTAATAAGATAAATACGAGACCAATTAAAGCAAGTAAATGTCTTTATTGATCACAGTGAAGGCCCTAAGTACAATCTACTTGGTTGCTCTGAGTACCGACTGACTGCGGTCGGGATTCTCTAACAACAACCTATCGATCGTCCAAAAGTCCCCCACACTGTAGCTATCGCGGGTATTTATAGCCGCGGAGCCGGAGACACAAATCCGGCCGTTCGGCATGCTTCCCACGTAGCCACCACGTGTCGCCGTCCCGGGTGCCCTTCCTGTCAACGCGTGGAGCCGCCACGTGTCCCTCGTCAGCTCTCTCGCCAAAGGGCTACCACTCGGTGGTCGACACTGCCGCTCGGGCAACTCCCGGTCGGACCCTGACCGGGTTCTTCACAAGAAGCCCGACCTGTTACCTGCAAAGACAAGAAGACAAAGACAAAGGCACACCAACCGGGGTAAAGTTATGTCGGTCGGGATATTTCCTACCAAGAGCCCCCCAGCCCGGGACTTTTTAACCGTCCGGGAAAAAACGGGACGGGATGAAGAAGCCCAACCGTCGGCTACCAAACCGACCGGCCAGCTGTCATTCCTTCTCTCGCCACGTGTCGGCAACTGCCGGCCTCTGCGACTGCAACGGTTGCCTCGGAATCAGTGCGGGTTAAATCGCGCAAGTGGATTGGTTTCCCGCCCAAATGCTCTCCTATAAATAGGCCTTTGAGGCCCTCATTTGAACTTTCCTCATTCTTCTGAATCAACCGGTACCCTCAGAGAGTTCCGAGTGAATCATCAGCAGATCAACCGAGCAAAACATCCTCAAGCTCCATCTAAGTCTTCACGATCGGTAAGCTTCCTACTTCCCTGCTTTGTCTTTTATTTTTAGCTTTGCATAGGCGTAGGATCGGACTTGTTGTGTTTGTCTCATATAAGGATTAGGAATATGAGTTTGTCTCATATAAGGAATAGGAGTGAAAGGGAGATTATATGCCTATAAATATAATCAATGTATCTCATCACCTGAAACTCCATCACAAATAATAAAAGAATACTTTCACTCCCGTGGATGTAGGCACATTGCCGAACCACGTAAATCTTGTCTTCTTTATCCTTTACTGCCATTATTATTTTTCTTGTTCTTATTAATCTCAACAAATTGGTATCAGAGCACTGTTGAGATGACCAGTTCAAGCACAAAATTCGAGGTATCAAAATTTGATGGTACAGGGAATTTTGGGTTATGGCAATCTAGGGTAAAGGATTTGTTGGCACAACAGGGTCTTCTGAAAACTTTGAAGGCGGATAAGCCAGCTAATCTGGAAGAGGATGATTGGGAAGATTTGAAGGAGCGTGCGGCAGGAACCATTCGGTTATGCCTAGACGATGGAATTGTGTATCACGTTATGGCCCTGGAAGCCCCAAAAGAAATTTGGGATAAATTGGAAACTCAGTTCATGGAGAAGTCTCTAACGAATAAACTGTATCTAAAGCAAAGGCTTTATGGGCTTAAGATGCAGGAGGGTTCAGACTTGGTGCATCATATTAATGTCTTCAACCAGATAATCTCAGATCTGGCCAGGCTTGATGTCAAGATTGAAGATGAAGACAAGGCGATGATCTTGCTATGTTCATTACCTTTTTCCTTTGAACATCTGGTGACTACTCTAACATACGGGAAAAGCACGATTAAATACAGCGAGATCTCTGCGGCCCTGCAGGCTCATAATAAGCGCATGCAGAGTGTAGGAGATGGACCGTCTGTTGGTGAAAATTTGTATGCTAAAGAGGGTCAGGATCGTGGAAGGAAGCAAGAGAAGGGTAATTTTGGGAGGAGAAACTCTAGGTCTAAGTCCAGAAATAGCAGGAAAATCCGGTGCTACAAGTGTTATGAGATTGGGCACATAAAGAGAGATTGTCCAAAGTTGAAAAAACAACAAGAGGCGGCGAACGTGGTGCATGCTGATGACTCAGATTATAGTGAAGGTGATGTTCTAGCAGTTTCATCGATTAAGTTGTCAGATGCTTGGATTCTAGACTCAAGATGCTCTTATCATATTACACCTAACAGGGAGTGGTTCACAACCTATAAATCAGGTACTTTCGGTTCTGTTTTTCTGGGTGATGATAGATGTCATAATATCATAGGTATTGGTGATGTTAACATCCAGATGTATGATGGTATTGTCAGAACTTTGCATGATGTCAGACATATACCGGGATTAACTAAGAACCTGATTTCTCTTGGCAGTTTGCATGCTAATGGTTTTATTCATAAGTCTGAGAGTGATAAGGAAACCATTAAAATTAGTAAGGGTGCTTTAACTGTGATGAAAGGGAAAAGGACCACAGGGAACATTTATAGGTTGTTGGGTAGTACTGTTGTAGGTGGAGCACATTCTGTTGAGTCTAGTGATGATACTACTAGGTTGTGGCATTTACGTTTGGGTCACCTTGGTGAACGTGGTTTGTCTGATTTGCACAAAAAGAATCTGTTAAAAGGAGTTAAATGTTGTAAGCTAGATTTCTGTGAGTTCTGTGTCCTTGGGAAACAGACTAGAGTCAGTTTTTCTACTGGGCAGCATAAAACTAAAGGGATTCTGGATTATGTGCATTATGATGTTTGGGGACCTACCAGGGAACCTTCAATGGGTGGCTCTCGATATTATGTTACATTTACTGACGATTTTTTTAGGAAAGTCTGGGTGTATTTCTTGAAACATAAATCTGAAGTGTTTGAGAAATTTAAGTTGTGGAAAGCTGAGGTTGAGAACCAGACTGGAAGAAAAATCAAGTACCTGAGGTCTGACAACGGGACAGAATATACTGAGAAAGAATTTCAGAAATTCTGTGCAGAACATGGAATTCAAAGGCACTATACAGTGCGTAAGACACCACAACAGAATGGTGTTGCTGAGCGGCTGAATAGAACCATTGCTGAGAGAGCAAGGTGTCTCAGATTGAATGCTGGGCTCTCTAAGTGTTTTTGGGCAGAAGCAGTGAACATGGCATGTTACTTGATCAATAGATCACCACGGACATCACTTGGTGGCAAGGTTCCTGAGGAGGTTTGGTTAGGTAATCCTCTAAGTTTTGATCACTTACGAGTTTTTGGTTGTCCTAGCTATGTTCTTATTCCAGGTGATGAGAGATCAAAGTTAGATCCCAAGTCGAAGAAGTGCATCTTTTTGGGTTACAAGAAAGGTGTAAAAGGATATAAGTTTTGGGATCCTGCAACCAAAAAGGTGGTGATTAGCAGAGATGCAGTGTTTGATGAGAATTTCATGTTCCAGTCAAAGAAAGAAGATACACTAGTTGATGGTTCTAGCACAGTAGAAGTGGATATGGATCGTGTACCTTTGAGTGAGAAAGTAGTTAATCCACCTACGGTTGAGACTCAAGAAGTTGCAGATTCTACATCTGCAGCAGGTTCGGGTTCAGAAAATTTACAAGATTACAGTTTGGCTAGAGATAGACCGAGACGCACCAATGTTAAACCACCTAGTAGGTATGGGTTTGAGGATATGGTTTCTTTTGCACTTCTTGTTTCTAATAATGATCCAGTTACCTTTCAAGAGGCTATTTCTAGCCAGGAGAAAGATAAATGGATGGCAGGTATGATTGAGGAGATGGAGTCTTTACATCATAATCATACTTGGGAGTTAGCTCAACTTCCTCAAGGAAAGAAGGCTATAGGGTACAAGTGGGTCTATAGAAAGAAGCCACCAGTATCAGAAAAAGAAGGGGAAAGGTTTAAGGCTAGGTTAGTTGCGAAGGGGTTTTCTCAACAGAAGGGGATAGATTATGATGAGGTTTTCTCTCCTGTTGTTAGACATACTTCTATCAGATTAGTACTTGCTTTGGTAGCCATTTGGGATTTGCATTTGGAACAAATGGATGTGAAAACTGCTTTTCTACATGGTGATCTAGATGAGCAAATTTACATGAAGCAACCTGAAGGGTTTGTTAAACCCGGAGGTGAGCATCTGGTTTGTCGACTCAAGAGGTCTTTGTATGGGCTGAAACAGGCTCCACGACAGTGGTACAAGCGGTTCGATGCTTACATGATTCAAATTGGCTATACACGTTGTGAGTATGATTGTTGTGTCTATGTTAAAAGCCTTGGTGATGGTTCTTTTATTTTTCTGTTACTGTATGTGGATGATATGTTGATTGCTGCTAAGAGTATGAATGATATTACTGCATTGAAAGTGTTGTTGGGTCAGGAATTTGATATGAAAGACTTAGGAGTTGCACAGAAAATTCTTGGCATGGAAATTCACAGGGATAGAGGTGCAAGAAAGTTGTGGCTAACTCAACAAAGTTATATAGAGAAAATTCTTGACAGGTTTGGGATGAGTAAGTCTAAACCGGTTAGTACCCCTTTGGCTAATCATTTTAAACTCTCATCCAGTCAGTGTCCCCAAACAGTTAGTGAGATTGAAAATATGGCAAAGGTTCCTTATGCTAGTGCAGTTGGCTGTTTAATGTATGCAATGGTTTGTACTCGACCTGATTTGGCTCATGCTGTTAGCCAAGTTAGTAAGTACATGTCTAAACCTGGGAAGCAGCATTGGGAAGCAGTTAAATGGATTCTCTGGTACTTAAGGGGCACTATGGAGCATGGTATTGTATTTAGGAGTCAACAGAATGAGCATGTACTCATGGGATATGTGGATCTTGATTATGCTGGTGACATGGATAATAGACGTTCTACAACAGGGTATGTTTTTACTCTTGGGGGTGGTCCTATTTGCTGGAGATCATCAGTTCAGTCTATTGTAGCTTTGTCTACAACTGAAGCAGAATACATGGCTGCGACTGAGGCAGCTAAAGAGGCTTTGTGGCTTTCAGGTTTGATTAAGGAGTTGGGTATTGAGCGAGATGGAGTTCAATTACACTGTGACAATCAAAGTGCCATTTTCTTAGCTAAAAATCAAGTATACCATGCCAGAACCAAACATATTGATGTAAGGTTTCATAAAGTCAGAGAGTTGGTTGCTTCTGGTGAGATTTTGTTGCAGAAAATTCATACAAGTGAGAATGCAGCAGACATGTTGACAAAGGCAGTTACTAGTGACAAGTTCAAACATTGTTTGGACTTGTTGGGTGTTTCCAGATGTTAAATGAACATGGTGGTCATAATCCAGGGAGACTATGAGATGAGTTTTTTTTTCTCCTAAAGGGCTTATTTGCGAAGGTGGAGATGGTTAGATAAGTATTTTCTCCTGAAGGGCTTATTCGCCAAGGTGGAGATTTGTTGAGTTATCTTTTCTCCTAGAGAGCATATTCGCCAAGGTGGAGATTTGTTGTGTTTGTCTCATATAAGGATTAGGAATATGAGTTTGTCTCATATAAGGAATAGGAGTGAAAGGGAGATTATATGCCTATAAATATAATCAATGTATCTCATCACCTGAAACACCATCACAAATAATAAAAGAATACTTTCACTCCCGTGGATGTAGGCACATTGCCGAACCACGTAAATCTTGTCTTCTTTATCCTTTACTGCCATTATTATTTTTCTTGTTCTTATTAATCTCAACAGGACTAACTCCGACCTAACATCCCGAGCCCTGTACTAACCACGACGGACCTTTAGGTAGAAAAGATGTCAGAGTCGGATAGCCAGAATGTCTCGGTTGCGGATTACGACGACGCGGTCGAGCAAATCAGCGAGGAGGTGGACATCATGTCCTATTCTCCAGAGGTTGAGCAACGACCGCAGCAAATCCCCGACCGAGCCCCCGAGCAAGAAAGGTCATCGAGCTCGTCGGGGACGTCGGGGTCGAGCTCTAGCAGATCGGGGAGCTCGAGCGAAGGGAGTGGGGAAACGTCCACGAGCGGACGGAATTCCCCGGGGAGGAAACGCCTACGAGGGTAATTGGGGATTACCCTCAAGCCGAGCCGCAAGAGGACAACCGGGCGGAGGACACGGAGGCGGTCGAGGAAAACCCGGCCGGGCCGGCAGCGCCGGGTGGGGACGGGTTCGAGTTCCTTAACAGCGAGTCCGTCGAGACCCAGATGAGCTTGCTGACGAAAGGAGAAGCGAGCAAGATCGCCGCAACACTAGCTGGTCGGGTCGAGTTCGACACCAGCAGGCAGCTCGGGAACATCATCGAGCGGCACCGGGGGAAGTGGCTCGGGATGCATTATGACTCTCTAATGGCCCCGATCACCTTCCCCTTCTCAAGCCTCCTCACCGCGTTCTTGGGCTACTATCAGGTCATGCCCGGACAGATTTGCCCGAACGCGCACCGAATGATCGCGTGCTTCCCGCAAATCTACGGTCGACACCAGCTGGCCTGCACGATGGAGCTCTTCAACTTCATCTACCTGGTGAAGGTACTAGCGGCCTCATACGGGGGCGGGTATCTAATGACCCAGTCCCGGGCAGACATGTGCTCGATCGAAGGTCTGCCCGGGAACAACCGGGAATGGAAAAACCGGTTGTTCTCCGTGAAGCACGAACCATGGATTCTCCCTGTTGAGAGGGTCTGGAGTCAACGCTTCAGGAGACAAGTTGTACCAGCCGAGACTCAGGCCCTCAAGGATGCGACCACCAAGATATCTGAGGAAATCTACGAGTACCGGATCTTCAGGACGCCCGAATCCTTGGAAGCGGCCGACCTGCCCGAGCCCGTATACGACGTGCCCGAGAAGTATAAGCCCGAGCCTCGGGGCGTGACGATTGCAAGGATGCCCGATCGGGGCAAACGGAAGGGTAAAGGTCTAAGGCTAACAATATTTCCCGACCCTTAACAGTCCGACCGCTCCTTATTTTCCCGAACTAACTGCCTTTACTTTTTTTCACTTTGCAGAAATGGCGAAATTTGGAGATGACGATGCTCCTCTTCCCCCGCCCGCCAAGATCTCACTCGGCGGCAAAAAGAAGCCGAAGGCCAAACCAACCGGGCAGAAGGAAGTCCCGGTGGCCCGACCCCTCGGGACCTCGACCATTACGACAGCCGAGGGCTTTGTGGTCGAACCGACCGATGTCCTGGTCACCCGGGTGGAGGTTGCCCGGGGGAAGGAGAAGGTGCCCGAGAAGGGCGTAACCGAGGCCGGCGGCACCAAACGCCGCAGAGAACAGCACAGCCCGAGCCCCTCGGCTGGGCAGAACAAGGACGAGTCGTCCATACTGGCCCGTATCGGCAACGCCGGGCCAGTCAGGGAGGATCTGGGGAAGATGACCCCGACTCAGGTGGCCGAGAGGATCGGCCACGACTTGGCTAAGGTAAGCGTCTTACTTTCTTGAATTTTCATACAAGTGCTTCTGTCCGGGCTAATTCTGACCGTTTTTTGTACTGCAGATCTCCCGAGCGTCCCAGCTTCTGCAAGGTCGGGCCATGCTGGCCGAGGAGGCTGACCGCCACAAGATGACCGCCGCTCAACGCCTTCAAGAGGTCCGGGACGTCCAGGCGGAGTTGGAGAAGGTCCAGAAGGACCTTAAGAAGAGCGAAGAAGATCGCATCCTGGCTGAGAAGGTTGCGCAGCGGGCAATCGAGGAGGCTAATGAGCTGAAGTCCCGGTTGGAGAACCCGGACGAGCTATCCCAGTCCGTGTTTAAGGACAACGACGCGGGCTCAGCGTTCCTTACGGCGGCCCGGAGGACGAAGATCGGGGAGGACCTGATCCTCTCATTCGGCCGGTGGGCTTTCAAAGCCGGGCAAAGAAAACTGCTCGAGAGGGCCCAGAAACGACTGGGGCAAGCTCTTGAAGGAGACGACCTTCAGTTGGTTTTGTCTGCCCTTCCTCCCGACCTCGCCGACCCTGGTCCCTCCCCGTTCGCCCCAAAGGAAAGAGCGGCTGAACCGAGCGGGTCTACGGCGGCCACCTCGGGCTCCAAGAGGAGTGAAGCTGACCCACCGAAGAAGTAGACATAGGTTGCACTTCTTTTTTGTAAAGTGACGCTGATCGGGAGCCCGGTCCCGAATTTGTACCGGGCACTTCTTCTATTTAATGAAATTCATTGTTTGTCAAACTTGTGTCGTCCGTTTTCTTTCTTCGAATTTTTATATTTAATCATGCATACGCCGACCCTTAATGCTCGACCTCATGGCCTTTTGGCCCGGTCATGCGTTACTCGACTCGTTCGACACCCGACCTTGTGGCCTTAGGGCCCGGTCGTGCGTCCGTAGCTTCGACGTCAAACTGGCCTGCCCGATCAGGTTTACCCGATCTCTTGGCCTTGTCGAAATTTTGAAAATAGGTAAGCCTCCACGGTCGGGGTTTTCCCGAGCGACAGGCCTACAATACTTCATCCCAGCCCCCACACTATTGTACCCTCGAGGCACGAGTGGGTGCGATAGTGGAAAGAAGTTGGACGGATCGGGGAATTATGCTGGGAGCTCTGGCTTTCCCGATCGGTGGCGTGACCCAATTGTCCGCCGAAGAGGAGCGCATTTGACCGTTCGAGTAACTCGCCCGGTCGATGTGACTTGGTAATGAGATGTCCTGCATGCAATGAAGGTAAAGGAAATAACCGACTGGGCCGCCGTGTGCAAACGGTCGAGCAATCACCGATCGTATATACATTGAACCTTCCCGCTCGCAGGTGGTTGAATAAATATTTAAAACAATGTAATTGAAATATACATGACGACCGGGACTAACGCGCAGGTTGAGCCCCCACTTCGTCCAAAAATTACAAAAAATAGGCTAATGCCTAAACATAACGAGGTGCTCGGAATTCCAAGTCCCCTCGATTACTCGACCGATTGTCGTCTCCAGTCGGTATGTCCCCGGTCGTATGACCGCGCTGATGACGTATGGCCCTTCCCAATTTTGAGCTAGCTTTCCACCTTCCAAAGGCTGAATGGCCTCCCTTCGTCGTAGAACGTAATCTCCCACCTGAAAATAACAAGGGTTGACCCGGACGTCCTTTGAACTTTTGACTCGCTTCTGATACTCGGCCATACGCCGAGCTGCTAGCTCTCTCTTCTCCTCGACCCCATCGAGGTCCACGACCATCGCGTGTTCATTCTCCTCCGCGTTGTAAGTTCTTTCTCGATCGGGACTCGGGCTTCTGCTCCGTAAACCAGGGCGAAAGGGGTCTCCAAAGTAGCCTCCCTTGGGGTTGTCCGATAAGTCCACAATACATATGGCAACTCATCGGCCCAACTACGACCAGCCAAGTGTAGCTTCTTTTTTAGACCTTCCAAAATCGTCCGGTTGGCATTTTCTACTTGTCCATTTCCCTGCGTGTAAGCCACCGACGACCGGACGTGAGTAGTCCCGATCGTGGTCAAGAAGTTTTGGAAATACTGGCTTACGAATTGGCGGTCGTTGTCGCTGATGAGATGCACAGGCACACCAAAGCGGGAAATGACATTGCGCCAAAGGAACCGAGCACACTGCTGAGAGGTGATCGTGGCTAACGGCTCGGCTTCAATCCATTTGGAAAAATAGTCGATGGCAACAATCACGAACTTTCTCCGACCGGAGAGTTGAGGGAAGTGACCCAAAATGTCTACCCCCCACCTAGCGAAGGGAATCGCAGTCGTGACCGGTTGATAGAAGGTTGCCGGTCGTCCAGGCATCCGGGCAAACAGTTGGCACGTCTCACATTCCCGAGCTAACTTTTCACAGTCTAGCTGGAGGGACGGCCAATAGTACCCGATCAGCATGATACGACGGGCTAGCGGTCGGCCTCCTTGATGTGAAGAACATATACCCGAATGCAATTCCTTCATAACCAAATCGGCCTCAAATGCGGTTAAGCAACGCATAAGAGGGCCTTCATACGATCGCCTGTAAAGACGACCGTCCAAGACTTGGAACCTCGGGGCTCTTAGCTTGGCCTTCCGAGCACGCTGGGGGTCGTCTGGGAGCCGACCGTGCTCGAGGAACTCCTTTAGATCGGTGATCCAATTGTCTTCTACCGGCTGGATTGGATTGACCAATAATCGATGGATGCTGTGTCTCGGGATCACCAGAATTCGGGCTATCTTCGACATGTGTTCCGGGGCGTCTTGAGCCAATTTAAACAAGATGTCCGCATCGGCATTATCCAATCGGGGTATGTGTCAGACGGTGTACCCCCGGAACTGAGCAAGCTTCTCCATGGCCAGGTCTCGGTATAGTTGTAGACGCTCTCCATTGACTTCATAATCCCCGAGAACCTGCCCGACCACGAGCGCGGAGTCTGTTTGACCTCGAATGTATTCAGCCCCAAGTCCTGAGCACACTATAAGCCATTGATGAAGGCTTCGTACTCGACTTCATTGTTGGTCGGGTGGAACTGATACATGAGGGCGAAATAGACTTTGAATCCTTTCGGGCTCGTGACCACCACTCCTCCTCCTGCTCCTTTCTTGCTACTCGACCCGTCAGTAGCCAGCGACCACCACTCAGCCTCGGGATCCGCAACCTCGGGAGGTCGGGTATCCCGGGCGGTGCACTCGACCAAGAAATCAGCAAGGG